CTGTTTTTCATAATAAAGTCGAAATAGTTTCCATCAGTCTGTCCAGCTTACCCTTCTGTTATGGGCGTAGTGACTTCCAGGCACTGTCAGGACCATCTCGGAGTGCAGTGGCTCGTGAATGCAGAAACATCTGAAAAACCCTTGCAAATAAAACCCTTAGTTGGATGTTTCTAAATTTCTCCTTTATTCCTCAGCATTCCAGAGAGCAAGCTTTTATTCACATGAGTCTGTGCTGGCTTAATGAGAATTAATGGCCTTAAACTGGGGCAAGGAATCGGCTTGATATTTGAAAAAGCTCAGACATCAGCTCAGATATTTGCAAAGCTCTAATTCCAAGGTTAATGAGCGAGTGGACAGGAGAGCCCGGAGAGGCTGCAGAGTTTGGGTGCTGGTGCGGGTCTGCTCAGAGCGCTGGCTTACGTCGGGCTTGTTCTGGGGTAGGGCAGAGATGGGCTAACCGGCATCGATGGTTGCAAAAACCTTTTTACTTGAAACGATTTTTGCTGTTTCAGGGTGATTACTTAGTCTTTAAAAATAGGCTAGAGCCCGTGAAGACAGGAGAGGTGTCCTGTGGAGTGTGGGGGAGCTGGGCGGCCAGGGCCCATGCCTGGCCTTGGCATAGGACCGTGCTCGTCACCTCCGTGCCACAGCCGAGGAGGGGAGCGGGGACCCCCGGGACCCTGGCAGGGACCGTCCCTCGGGGGTGTCGGGAAGGCGAACCTCGTGAGCTGGCCTCTCGCTGCCAGCAACCGTGGGGCAGGCTGGCCAGGTGGGGAGCGGGGCTCAGCCGTGCCGCTGTCCTCTGCGGCATCGGCCCGCCGAGCTAGAGAGCCGGCGGCCTCGGTCTGCCTGCCAGAAGCATTTGCTGGAGCGCTGCAACCGCTGGGCACATCTGTAGATAACCAAAGCAGGCACCTCCTTCCCGAGCAAGGCACAAAAATAGCATGAAATTTGTCAGATAACTCATTTGCTAAAAATAATTCCAGTTGCAATCGTGGCCTCTGCAGTTTGAGGAACACTCAAGGTATTAAAGCATGCGCTTTGAATTTCCACTGTGGTGGAGCTTGAAGTACGTGCTCTTCAGGGCTTAACTGAATGACATCTCGAGGGTGAAATTTGGCTTTTGCCGGCCATGCCACCGAAGCCACCTCTTCTTGTTGAGATGCTGTCCGAAGCAGGGAGGGGACAGCTGCTTTTCCCCCGTAGTAGCTCTTGCCTTGTTTTCCATTTTCCCCTTCTCATGCCTGCCTGGTCATGTTTTGTTTCTGCAGCTGAAGAGTGAGCTGTAGTGTTGAGCCGCTCTGCCCAAGAGCACCCAGAGGGAGGGAGAGGCCAGCGGCGGGTGTGAAATCGCGCCGGTGCCGGTGGGATCGTGGTTTTTTGGCGTAATCCACCAGAAACGTGCCATGATTGGGATAGCGCTGAGCCCAGTGCTGCAAACCTGTCACGTGCCCAAGCAGGGATTCGTTAGAAAACCTGGGGATGGGATCAGAAACCTGGCTGTTCGTCCAGGGTCAGGATCTATCTGGGTTTGTGTAACTCGCTGTACTGCCAGATGGGAAAAGGAGACGGACTGGGTGTAGATAGGGGCTTGCCTGGATGTGGGGCTGGGAGGAGGCTTTCCTGGCTGTAGCAGGCATCTTTTCCTTAAGGAAAGGGAGAGATCAGAGAGCAGGTAAGACGGCAAATAAAAATGAGTCTGAAAAACAGAATAAAGCGAGAGCATCCTAGGAGAGGTATTTTTACGAGCACTGTTTCAGTGACTACATTTGGTCCTTGAAAAAAGGAGCAGATTCACATGAATAGCTACTAGTGATTTAAAGAAATATATTGAAAGAGAACCTGTTTTCAATGTGTAATTTAATGATGAGAAAAGCCAGTATCTGTAAATAACTTTAGATATTGTATCTATGAGAATCATTCTTTGTTTTATGTACTTGGCTCTTTTCATATTTATTGTGCGGAGGAGGGTGTGCCCCGTGCCGGTGTATGCTGCTGCACGTTCCAGTAGTACTTCTCACAGAGACTATCTTCAGAGTTTACAGTCCTCGGCGATTTGTGACTGATGTGCCACACTTAGTTAATTCCGCCATTATTTTTTTAAAGGATTATTTTGGCACAGCTAAGCTGCTTCTGTGTGTTGGTCAGTACAACTGCTCTCATACGACGAGAACCCCAATAAAAACCGTCCTTTGCGTGTGTGCTGCCGCCTGGTTCTTTCGGTCTTGCCTGCCCCTTCCCGCGCAGCCGGCGGGGCTGTGCCGGGCTGCCTGACCCCCTGCGCCCCGTTGCCCCTGGCTGCCCCGCACAGAGGTAAGTCCTTTGCTGGCTGGAGAAGCCGCCATTCACGTGCACGGTGTTTGTTCGTGCTTTTTCCCACGGGTGGCTGCTGGGGGACGCGCTGGCTGTTTCCTGCCGATGGGATGGTGCCCGCTACGGCGAGGAGGGCCCTGGAGGTGATCTTCATCCCGCTGTGCTGGAGCAGCACAAAAAATGGCCCTGGCAGGGACTATGAGGTGTGTTACGGGTGATGAACAGTGGCTTTCTGAAGGCGCGGGAGGGACCCTGATGCTCGGTGCTGAGGGGCACCCCAGCAGCAACCGTCCCTGCGCACAGCCAGGCTCCCCGTGGCTGTGGTGCCATCGGGGACCATGTGAAGGATCATCCAAAACCACATGTCCTTGTGCCATTCCCACGTGGAAATGGGGTTTGGTGAGATGCCTGGGGCAAACCTTGGTCTCCTGCCAGGCAACTACAGACTAACAATCCTATTTCCTTTTTTATTAACAGAGTTTTTCCAGCTGTCGGTGCTGGTGCCCTGGGCATGTCCCTGGAGCTCTTCGGGAGAGATGCAGAGCGGAGGAGGGTGGGTTACATCTTTGCAGCTGGCCTTGGCCTGATCCTGCACCCCCGGCTGGGTGTTGAATGCTGGCGGCGGCTGCGCTGGGGCAGGTGGGACGCAGGTCCTGCTGGTCATGTCCCCCCCCCGGAGGGTCACCGTCTGCCCCGCGTGGTCACCCGATGGCCCCTCTGTGTGCTGTGCCCCTGGCAGAGCTCTGCAGGGAGGTGAGGCTGGGGATGGCGGTGCCAGGCACCCCCCCACCCCGCGGCAGGCAGGGCTGCCCGCTGCCTCCCCACCTGCCCCGGCCGGGCTGCCGGCCGCGTTGGCGTTAGCACCGCGGTGACTTCTTCTTTCCACCGACGGGAGGTTATTTTGAGCGCTGCTCTCGGGTCCCTCCCCAGCTCAGCCTCCCCCATCTCAGGGCTGGGGCTGGCAGGGGGGGGGAGCCGGGGTGCTCAAGGGAGCCCCGTACCGAAGCTCTGACCTGCCGTCCCAGGGGACAGCTTGGGGTCCCCTCCTGCAGCAGCAGAGCACCCTGGGCTGGCTCACGTCAACCTACAGCGGTTCCCCCACTTCTGCGGGGTGCAAACGTGTGCACCCAGGAGGGCGCGAACACGCGTGCCGGGGAGGGCACGGGTGACACACGCATGTGCCGGGCGGTGCAGAGAGGCCAGGGAACGGGAGGGCCCCGCGATGCCATCGCCTCTCCCCAGCCGAGGCCCCGGTGTCACCGGCGTGGTTATTTTTAGCGGTGACATGTGTCACCTCAGCTGCCGCTGTGGCAGGGGGGCGGTGGGGGGAAGCACACGCTGCCCCGCTGCCGCCGCTCGCCCGCACGCCGCCTTCGCTCTCCGGCTCCCTGGGGGTCCCGCACCGGTGGCAGAGCCCGGTGCCAGCGTGGGCTGTCAGCCCCCCCGTGCCTGCAGCCCCCCACCCAGGTACGGGCACTCTGGGGGGGGGACTTTGGGGTGGGGGGCCGGGATCAGGGTCTGAAAGGAGCTTTTTGGGTGTGCTGGAAGCCAAACCGTGGGCCCCTCGGCAGGAAGGGCTATTTTTAGATGGGAATGGATGGCGATAGTGGCAGCCCCGGCTCTGGGAGCGGCTTCCAGCCACCGGTGTGTGCCGGGAAGAGGTGCCTGGGAGGGCTGCGATGGGAGCGGGGACAGGGATGGGGACAGTGCTCCCTGCCCTGTGCAGGAGGGCGATTGGGGGTTACTCGATGGCCTTGGCTCTTGGCACCCACCAGGAAGGCAGCGGGTCCCGGGTGGCAGCAGGAGCAAGTACCCGGTCAGCTTCTGCATGGGGACCAGACCCAAACGGGGCTGCATCCTGCTCCCTGGGTGAAGGGAGCCGGAGTGGTGGTGATGGTGATCCCCGGCCCTTGTTCATGCCATGCTGTGTGCTGGGTCGAGGCATGTCCCCCTCTGTGCCTCAGTTTCCTCTTGTGCAGAGCAGGACTGAGGATCCAGCTCCAGCTGGTGGGTGCAGGGTGCCCTGCCGCAGGGACCCTCCGGGCTCAGGGCTCCGGCTGTGCCGTTCGGGGCTGGCTCTCCCCTGCGGCCTCAGAGCCCTGGCTGGGGGGACAGTGTGGGGGCAGTGCCGGTCCCCGACGGGAGTGAGGGCACGTGGCGCCTGGGGCTGCCGCCCGAGAAGGCAAGTGACATTCCTCAGCCGGCTCCTGGCCGCTCCCGGCGCTCCTGCCCTTTACTGTACAAGGAGATGTGGCTGCCGGCGCGAGCGGCAGGGCCAGATGAGCCCTGACCCGCTCGGTGCATGAATGATCTTGACAGGTGAAGCTGGGAGCAGCCCGAAACGGGGCATGGGCGGGCTCCCACGGCCACCTTGTGCCACTCAGGCCAGGGCAGTGGGGTCCCAACACCACCCTGGTGCCACCGACACCCAGTACCACCACCTCCCCTCCAAACGACTGCCATACGACCCGTCCCCCCGTGCCATGGCTGCCGTGCCACACCTGGTGCCGCGAGCGCAGACTGGGGCTATGCCCGGCAAGGTCATGGTCTGCCGGCCCCGGCACAGCCTCTGGCATGGCCCCAGGGCCAGCGGGAGCCCCTGGCTAACTTTCTCCTCTCTCTCTGCCTCATGCACCCGGTGCGGCCCCACGGCTCTCCGTACAGCACCGACCCACCTCCCTGCCGGCATGGCCATCTCCTCGCGCCTGGCGCTCTGGGAGCAGAAGGAAAGTCTCGGTCCAGGATGGCACCAGCGGTGTTTTGGGGCTGGATGTTCACAGGCTGCCAGGGGGCTTGGTGCCGGGGGGGGGGGGCGCCCCGCAGCCAGCCTGCCGCACGCCTCTGGGGTCGGCGTCCCCTCGGCTCCCCGCGCACGTTGCTCATGCTGTGTCCAACCCTGCCGGCTCCGGGCACCTTTGCAGGCTGAATGTTCTAGTTTGAGCGATTTTGCTGCTGTTCACAGCGTGCAGTTCCCTGCAGGGCCGAGACTCATGGGAGTCTGCAGGGCTTGGTGCTGGTGCTGCTGTGCAGTGGTGCGGCGGGGAAAGCCTTTTGCTGTGGGAGCTGTGGGAAGTGGGGCTGGGTTTCAGCTTGGGGCCTGGCATGGAGGGACCTGCAGGTCTGCATGTGGCCGTGGTGATGCCGGGAGGCGCTTCTTGACTCGCTGCAGCTGGGACGGTTCCTCCCATGGCCATGCCGGAGCTGCTGGGTGTCGGGCAGAGCCGGCAGCACATGTGGGCTCCCCGCAGCACCCAGCCCTTGGCGGTGTGTGGAAACTTCGGAGCTTCTCTGTGGGGCTTTTCTTTGTGCTTTTCCTCCTGCTCGCCACAGTCTGGTGCTCATGGGTGGCCCGTGGCCTCGCCGGCAACCTGCAGGATGCCTGTGGCCAGCCCCACCAGCGGAGCGGGGTGCTGATGCTCCGCTGCTCGTGCCACTAATGTCCCCAAGGGGCTGGCTTTACCGGGGCTCCTGTCCCTATGCCATGCCCCGTAACCCAGCCTCTGCTCCTGCAAACAGATACGGGACGAGGACCGGGTGCCACCCCCATCTGCCCTCCCCCTGCTCCTGTCGGTCATCCCTGGGGGGTTCATCAAGCAGCTCGTGCGGGAGACCGAGAAGGAGGCGAAGGCGGCAAAACTGAAGAAGGAAACCAAGGTGAGTGTGAAAGAGGAGGTGGGTGGTGCTGAACCCTATGCAGCACTGGGGTGTCCTGCCTTGGTGCTGGCTGTCCCCAGCCCAGAGCAGTTCCTTGGGGGCTGGGGGGCTGCAGGGCCCCACGACACCGGCCCCAGCCAGGAGCCTGAGGCTTTTTTTCGCACGAGTGGGGTTGGATGGCGAGGCTGGGGCTCACAGCGTGCCGTCGGCCACAGGCCAGCCGCCAGCCTTGAGCAATTCATGCTGGAGACTTCGTTAATGCAGCTTGCCATTCCTGACTTGCTTAATTGGAAGGCGAGTAATTAAGCGGAGCATGAGGCTCTCCAGTTCAGCTCGCTGAGCGCAGGAAGGGGAGTGTGCGGGGCGTCCCTGGGCACAGAACCGAGTGGTGACCCAGGACATGGGATGGGTCCCCAGGAGGGATGGGATGTGGCCAAGTAGGAGGGAGGAGGAGGAAGAGGAGGAGGAGGAGGATGCCACCGCCGACTGCAGCTGTGCAGCCAGGTCTGAGCAGCCACCCACAGCCATCAGCCATGCCCAGAGCGAGTGGGTCAGAGCTGGAGCTGTGTGTCTTGCCAGGCTGTGCTCAGCACGGGCATCCCGCACTGGGCTTTCACCCTGTCCCCCTCAGACCCGGCTCCTCTCCTTTGCTTGGCAGCCCACAGGAGAGGACGGCGAGGCCCAAGCCGGGGACGGCCCAGCTGCTGGAGGCAAGGCGGTCAGCAAGGGGCAGTCGCTGCAGAACGGGCTGCACGCAGAGGGGCAGGGGGGCGAAGGGGTCGTGGCCCCCCCACGCAAGGAGTTGTGGCCCAGGAGGGCTGCGCTGGGGGCCGTCCCCAGCAAAGGCCCATCCCCTGCGCCTGGCCCAGTAGCGGCTGTCCCCAAACCAGCGGAGACCCCTTGCCCGGAGGCTCCCAAGGCAGCGAAGCCGTCGTGCCCTGAGAAGAGCCCCAAGGACCCCCACCCGAGGGGCAGCCCCCCGCCTCCAGCCCCAGCACCCAGAAAGGACCCCCAGCGCTGCAGCAAAATCCCAGCAAAGGAGGGAGACGCACCCAAGGGGACGGGCCCCGAGAGCACCAAGGAGGAGGGGGCACCCCTGAGCCACGAGGAGCCCCCAGCCAAGGAGACAGCCAAGAGGGAGCCGGGGCTGGCCAGGAAGGAGCCGGAGAAGATGAAGAAAGATGTCGAAGGTGGCAAGAAGGAGCCAAGGGAAATCAAAAAGCCTGGAAAAACTGCAACCAAGTCAGAGGGGCTGAAGGGGGAGCCAGGAGGAATCCAAGAAAAGTCAGAAGATGTGGCAAAGGAGGTGGGGAAGGCGAAGGAAGAGCCAGGAGAGGGTAAAGAGACACCAGGAGAGAGCAAAGAAACAGGCGAGAGCACGGACAAGGAGCAGGTAACGTGTCCGCAGACCTGCCAGGCTGTTACCCCGTGTCTTGGGCCACTGATGCCATTTTTCTGGTTTCATGCAGCTCTTCCCATTTGCGTAGGCTCAGCAGGGGGCCAGGGGAAGGTTCCCCCTGGGAACGGTGCCCGGCTGCGAGCATCCCTGACCCCGAATGATCCTGCCGGGGAGGGGCAGGGGTTCTGGCTGGAAGTGTTCTGACCGTGGGGCAAATGCAGTTTGTCCAGCTCAGTTTTCCACTGGTTCCTGTACGATTCCCCTCTCTCCTCCCCGCAGGCTCCAAGGGATGTTTGGTACGAAGCGGAGAAGGTCTGGCTCATCCAGCAGGATGGATTCACGCTCGGTAACTTGCCTTCCTCTGCCCTCACTTTCCAGCACCGAAGATAAGAGGTGTCTCCAGCCTGGCTGTGTGTCGGGAGCAGGGTGGGCGCCCGGTGCTGTGCCAGCGCTGTGCCGCGGCCATACCTCAGCGGGGCCATGGTTGGAGACGGCCCATTGGCAGCTCCTCATGCCGCAGCCGGCTCTGCCCTGAGCTTCCTCGGCCGTACCGCACTGGAGGGACTCATCGGCCTCTCGTTGCAGCCACGCAGCTGAAGCCAGACGTGGGGACGCCCGAGCTGCCGGCAGGGAGGGTGAGGGTGCGCCGGGAGGCGGACGGCAGCGTCACCGAGGTGGATGAGGACAGCGTGCAGCGGGTGAGTCCCCTCCTCGGTTTTGGCCGGCGCGGGGTTGGGAGCCCTGCCCTCACCGCCTGGTGCGTGGCAGTGCCCGGGCAGGATTAGACCCAGGCAACCCCGGCGCTCCAGCCGTCGTCCTGGACTGGATGAGTCCGGGGTGCCGGTGGGGTCCGGCACGAGCCGTGCCACGATGGCAGAGCTGGAGCGGGGGCTCTGGCTCTCTTCCTGCAGACTAACCCCCCCAGCCTGGATTACGCCGAGGACCTGGCTGCGCTCGTCAACCTTAACGAGTGCAGCGCCATGAACACGCTGCAGCAGCGCTACCAGGCCCGGCTGCCCTACACCCGCGCCGGGCCCAGCCTCGTGGCCATCAGGCCCAGCTTCGCCGCCAGCAGCACCTCGGGGAAGGTGAGCGGGGAGACCTGGGGGGGTGTGGGCCGGGATCTCCCGTGGGAAGCGGTCACCGACCCCCGTGGGGACAGCGGCGGAGGGCGCCGGGCGCTGCCGTGCCGGCAGATGGCACCGTGCGACCGTCACAGCGCGCGGCCGGGACACGCGGGGGGTGCTCGGGGCGGGGGATGCGCTGAGGACACTCGGGACCGGGGGCGCTCGGGGCCCGGGGGGATAGGGGCCGGGGATGCTCCGGGCCGGGGATGCTCGGGGTCCGGGATGCTCTGAGGTTACTCGGGGCTGGGATCATTCGGGGTCAGGGATGCTCGCAGCTGGGCACCGCTCCCAGCACAGAAGTTTTCCTGGCTTCCAGGAGAAAATCACTGCCTTGCTGTGACTGCACCCCCCAAGCAGTCTGGGGGGGGGGACGGGGCTGGGGAGGGAACGGGCCCAGGGCTTTGCCTTGGCAGAGCTTTTGCTCACAGGCAAGCCGGAGCGGGTCCTGGGGTGGGTCCCCAAACCTCTCTCCGGCGCTGGTGCGGTGAGGCTAGGCTTGCAGGGCTGGGCAGCGTTTCCCCTTGCCCTGGGAATCTTGGGGGGGTTCTGCACCTTGGGGAGAAACCATCACCCTGAGTGTGACGTGCCTTCGGGATTTGCTATACAAGAAGCCTGTTTTGGGATGTGCTCTCCCACTCTCTCCCTGCCCACAGGTGTTCAAGGGGAAGCGGGACAACATGCCCCCGCACATCTGCTCGGTGGCACAGAGAGCCTACAGGAACCTGCTGATGCAGCGGCAGGATCAGGCCATCGTGCCCCTGGGGCGCAGCGGGGCTGGCAAGACCACGTGCTGCCAGAGCGCCCTGGAGTATCTGGTGGGCATGGCGGGCAGTGTGGACAGCACGGTCTCAGGTACGGGGCCGGGCAGCCGCTGCAAGCTCGGAGCCCCGGCAGCAATGCACCAAGCACTGGCAGCGGGACTGCAGGGTGCTTGGCACTGGGCAGTCAGCACACGGAAAGTGTCCGTGCAGGCTGGAGAGTGCATGCTAATGCAAAGGTGATTCTGCTTCCCTCCAATGGCCTTCATTTGACCCGTTCCCGCTCTGATTTGTGCCTCATTGGGGTGGCTCGGTGCGGCTGTACAAGCGCAGCACAGGCCGGTGGGGCGCGGGGCTGCAGCCCGGAGACAGGCGAGCAGTGGGGCTGTGAGTGCCGCTGCCGCTTATCCATCCCAGACCCAACAGATCTGCTATTTTGATAAACACCCGAGTAAGCACCACAAGGGAATTACTTGCATGCTTGGGGCAGCACTTTTCCCATCTGATCAAGTTACTGGTGACGTGAGAGGAAGCGCTGTTAAGCAATCAGTAGCTTTAGAGGGCAGGTTTGGATTTCGGAGGTCTGGGTGAGCTCCGGGCACACCATGCTCTTGAAAAGGGCTGATGAGTGGCCTGGAGCAGGGTGGCATGTCCCCCCTGGCCAGCGCACATGTGCCCTTGTGGAGCAGGATGCTAATAACCCCATTCCCAGCTGGTGCCCTGGGTCCCTGTGCGCTGGGACAGGGTCCTGGGAGGAGCATGCAGAGGTGCAGCCAGGAGGAGAAGCTTCCTCCGGCACCTGTTTGCAGCCTTGAGGCTGCACTGGTGCAGCGGTGGTAGGGTCTGGCTTTCTCCCAGCGAGCACCAGAGAGATGCAGGGCTGCAGCCATCTCAGGGTGACTCAGGGGGCTGCTGGTGCTGGTTTTGCAGTGGAGAAGATCCAGGCGATGTTCACAGTCCTGGGAGCCTTTGGGTCAGTGACCACCGGCCACAGCAGCAGCTCCACGCGCTTCTCCATGGTCCTGTCACTGGATTTCAGTGCCACCGGCCATATAACCGCTGCTCACCTCCAGGTACCCCATGGGCCCTGTCGCCTGGGTGAGACGGGAGGGCTGTGGCTGAACCCGGGGGTCCTCAAGATGGGGGTGAACAGCCCCTGCGTTGCTTCCTGGCCAGGCTGAGGGCAAGAGGGGTGATGCTCTGCTCTGCTCTGCTTCTCCTCCCGGACCAAAGGTACCCCAAATCGCAGCTGAGCAGGAGCTCTGTCAGTAGTGTGGCAGGGTCCCCCACAGGCCATCATCCCCTCCCCTGGCAGGGAGTGCAGAACAGCACTGGAATGAAATGTTTATGAGGAAATGTATAATTTAGCATTTCATTAGCAGCACCTTACATGTCAGCCTTGAGCAGAAGCCTCTGAGGGCTTTTATCACCGTCAGGGCTGTTATGCAAAGGCACTTTAATCAGAGCTGTCTGTGCCCCCGGGGCTCGTCTGATGGAGAAGAAGGCTTGAGCCACTGCCTGCTGGGGGGAACACCAGGGCTTCCCATGGCTGCCCCATTGCTGCCCCCGCTCTGCCCCAGGCACCGGCAGGGAGTTGATGGCCGGCATGGCCATCCTTGTGCGGCAGCAGAAACGTGCCCCCCGGGAGCATTCACTTTCTGGACCACCAGTACCATCCTGGGATGCTCGTGAGAGGATGGGACAGTCGGGGCGGGGGGGTTGGTCCCAGCCATGCAGGCACTTGTTCCTGGTGTCAGTGCTGGCACAGAACAGCCTTGATGAGGCTGGAGGCTCATCTAGGCTTGTCCCAAGCCCAGGCAATGGCTGATCCGGACACTGTAGCATCTTTGCTGGGGCCATCACATTGTCCAGACCTCTGGAGGCAGAGAGGGACCCTGGGTGTTGCACCCATGTGCTGAAACGTTGCCCTTTGGTGCATGCCTGAGGCACAATTTGGCTCTTGCTTGCATGCCCTGCGGCACACAGCCCTGGGCTGGAGGAGCAGCCTCCGAAGCTAGCCGTGGCCCTGCAAGGAGAAATCCAGCCCCTCCTTGACAGCTCCCAGTAGCATCTCCCCGTCTCCGGGTGCCACTGTCCCCTCTCTTCCCTGTGTGCCTGGATGCCCTGGCACACTGGCCACCCTGCCTGCACGCTGGGGGCTTCCACTCACGCCTGCCTCTGCTCCCTTCCCAGACCATGCTGCTGGAGAGGGGCCGCGTCGCCCAGCAGCCCAACGGTGAGAGCAGCTTCAACATCTTCCCCCTGATGCTGGCAGGGCTGGATGCGGCACACAGGTGGGTGTACGGCTCCCGCAGCACTGGGCAGCTCTGCTCCTCGCCTGGCTGCTCAGCTGATGGGTACTCCCATCGCCGAGGGGTTCCCCTGTGATTTATACTCAAGTTTGCTCTTGGGTATAAGAGACCTCTCTGATAAGAAAGAGATTGTGAGAGTGATCACATTAGCGATGCTGCAGGGATATTTATACACTTATATATTAGAGATTTTCCAGGAAATGGGCATTTTCTGGTGCTTTTTTTGCCCCTTCACTAAAACTGAAATTGGGCTGATCAAATGAGGTAGAGGTCTCTCTCCCTGCTCACTTCTGGCTCTCCCCATAAGCTGTGCGTCCCTGGGCTATGCCAGGCGAAGGGGCATCTGCTGCCGGCTCCATCCCTCTACATGGGGCAGAGCCACAGCAGCCTTTCCCATCAACGTCCCTCAGACATTGCCGTAAAGGGGCTCTGTGGGTGTTGGAGATGCTCCCTGGGGAGAGGGCAGGAGGTTTGGGGAGTGCTGGGGGAAGGCAAGGAGGGAGCTTGAGTCTCATTTTCTGTACCTGCTTCCAGGACGGTGCTGCACTTGCACCAGGTGGCTGAAAGCAACTCCTTTGGGATCAAGCCGTTTGTGAAGGTAGGGAGAAATGCCAGTGCTGCACGGCCACCCCCTTTGTCACCCCTGGTTAGAGGACAGGTTGGGGTCCTTGGCTGCTGGGCAACTCGGGATGGTGCTGCCGTACCGGGTGCATGAAGGGAGAGAGCAAATGTTGGGGTGTGAGGCAAGGTCTGCCCAAACAGCCTCCAGCACCCCTCTGACAGCCTGGTGGGAGCAGGGGAGATGCCAGGACCGGGGCTGCCGCTGCCTGGTGTCTGTGATCAGGTTTTGGACACCCCCAGTCCACCCCGGGGATGGAACCTGCTGCTCTGTGGCCAACAATACCTGATGGTTTTTTCTTGTGGCAGCAGCTCCTGAGGGGCAAGCGCATCCTTTGGAGGGCCCAGAATGCAATTTTTAGAGGCTAAAAGTACTGTGGTTGATTTCCAGCACCAGCTCCTTATTAGTGTGAGCCGTTTGCAAAGACCAGGCAGATCGCTTACGAGCCACAGCGCTGGCATGAGTAGCAGCAATTCGCAGTTGCATCATCTATTGATGAATTCAGTATTCAATGTTCATTAGGGAGGACCTGCTCTGGTCCAGAGAGAGCAGCGGCTCTCATGGAGGGCACGGCGAGGTACCGTGGGTCCTCGCCTTGCTCATGCAGCAGCAGATTTGGGTTCAGAGATGGGGTTTTACCCTCCTTTCACAGCCCCCGATTCCTGTGGGTTCCCCATCCCAGCACGGAGGGGTTTCCCTCTGGGATGCAGAGGGTCAGCAGGAGCCAGGCAGCACTGGCTCTGAGCAGCATCTCTTCAGTCCAGGGAGTGTGAGCTCTGCAAAGGGGACAAGATGAGCGCTGTCCCCACCACTGCTTCTCCTTCCCAGCAATGTTCCCCGCAGTGCATGCACATCCCTGGAAAGCTGGGCTTGGTCGTTTGGTTCAGCACGGCACGGGGTGGTTGTCCGAGGAGAACCCAGGATGCTAGGGATGGGGATGTGGAAGGATGAATGGCCCAAAATCTCCCCAGGGGATGAAATCCTGCACCAGAACCTGGCCTGGCTGAACAGGGACGTTGGTAGTACTTTGTTCACCTGCTCTGGAACCAGCCCAGAAGGAAAGCCAGAGAGGTGGCGTGCTGTGTCTGGGTTCAGTTGGAGTTTGTGGAAATTTGTCAGATTTTCCTTTCTGAATGGTGCTCTGGATGCTGAGACTAAAGATCTAATTGGCGGCATCCCAGCCTTCATCCCCACAGCCAGTGGGGATAGATAACCCCTGCAGGGACACCGGTGTCACAAGTATTTAGGGTATTTGTTTGTGTCTGGAGAAATCGCAGACCTCAGCTCTGTTTTTTCATTAGTAGCTGCCCCGTAGGCCTCTGCAGGAGCTGGAATCCTTTAGTCGAGGCAGGCTGGTCCTTGCCAGGATAGGGATGCTGCCTGCTGGAGCCCGCGTGCAGTGTCTGGCCCTGGGGCTGCATGTGTCTGCACAAAACAGCCTCAGTTCAGGCAGAGAAAGCCCTGATCTCGCTGTGAGGCTGCGTTTGCGAAAAAAAAATTGCAGGACTTGTGGACAGGGCTGCCGTGGTTGGAGGTGGGCAGCTGAGGTCCTGCTGGTGGCTGGAAGGTGTTCAGCTGGCCCCAGCTCACCTGTGAGTGGGTGTATTTAGTGAGAAGGTATAAAATGTCTATCTCCAACTGCCGCTTAATGTAGTGAGCATCTGTAGACACTCCTCAAGTGGGAATTATGTAGTGTTGTACAAGGAGAAGATGTACCCAGGCTTGCTCCTAGCACCAGGCTCTCGAGGAACCTGGCAGGGGCTTCTCCCACTGCTGTCAAACTGTTCCTAGGGTCCCTTATTGCCTTTTCCTTGCTGGCCACATGGCTTTTGTATGCTTTTTGCATTCCCCCCC